GGGAGATCCTGGTGGGGAGATCTCAAGGGGTGGGTAACATGCGGTGAGCAAAAAGATAAAGATATAGGGAGAATTATGAGAGAGTTCTTAAAGAGATTTCTTAAAAAGATTAGAAGTACTTAGAGAAGATTGAGAGAAGACCTTCTAATATTGTAATTCTTTTATTTTAATTAGTGGGTCTCTTATTGTACTCTATAGTTTTTCCTTATTGAGGATTTTCCCCATTAAATTTTTTTTTTCTTATTATTTTATTTAATTATTATTCACTTGCATAGTTTTTGGTGAATCAAATACGTACCAATTGTGTTAAATCCCAGCAATTGGTGTCGAAGCATAAAAGGGAATATGCCAATGGTAGTGTTAGAGATCAAAAGTGGGAATTCTTAATTTTTAATAGTGGTATCAGAGCTCATGGTTCCAACTCTGGACAACAGAATGTGCGCATAATGAGGTGATGTCTTCAAGACGTGGATGATGTTGTGGATTTGTCAAAAGATTGCCAACTTGAAGAAGACAATGATGAGATGCAACGGATTTGTGGAGGAAGCAAAATTCGAAGAAACAATAATGAAGAGGTTTTGCTTGCACATGATATTAGGCCGAGGTGAAAGGGAAGCGTTCGATTTGAGGGGGAGTATATGTGTTTGAGAAATTCAAGTCAAGGGAGAAATTGTTGGGAATGTGCCCTGAATTACTCGAAGTTAAAGTTTGTCTTGAACAAGCAAAGTGTTGACAACTTTGATCAAGATTCCAATACGAGAAAAATATAAAACAGAGGACAAAAAGATTCTGAACCCTTGATGAAAGTTCTGGATCCCTCAACTGGTTGTTCATGTGGGGCTTTGTTCGAGACACTGAAGTGTCGACACCATGACACAAGGCTGTGATTTTTTTTTTTTTTTCGTTATTTAGAATTCAAATCAGTTTGGAATTCTAATTGAAGGACTGAATTAAGTATTTAAGGAATTTTAAAGATCATGTGAAGTTTTAGTGAGATTTAATTTCTTAACTTTTGGAATGAATTTTTGAGACTCAAACAATAATATATAGCAACTCTTGTTAGGGCTTGAATTCTATATTCGTAATGAGAATTTAAAAACCTTACTTAGATTTGGTATAAATATGTGTAATTAGCAAATTTAGGATGCGTACGGTGGAGACACCCCTTTCAGTGTGGATATCCCACCTCAATGGATGACACGCAGCGAGCAAAAAATAAAGATGCAAGGAGAATCATGAGGGAGTTCTCAGAGAGATTAAGAGTACTTAGGGGAGATTGAGAGGGTCATCTAATATTGTAACTCTTATTATTTGTTTTTTTTTTTTTTATGATTTGTGAATCTCTTATCTTGTTCTATGGTTTTTCTCTATTGAGATTTTTTCACATTAAATTGGTGTTTTTTCTTATCATTTTGCTTTGTTATTATTAATTTGTGTAATTTTTTGGTGTGTCAAATTCCAACAATTGGAATTATAACATGAAGAGAGAATTTTATTCCCAATGATGTATTAGAGATCGAAAGTGGGATTCTTAATTCCCAATAGGTTACATGTAGATTTGGGAACATGCACTATTTCTGTTGAGCTGCAATCACAGGTGCAGCGTTTTGTTTCCATTACATGTTTACTTGGCTAAGCAATAGAAGTCCGAAGATGCATTGCTCCAGTGATTATGGGCTTAACGCGTTTGAAAAAGGTTTCAAGTTCATATCTCCATACTCTAAATAATAATTAAGAATTTTTTTTTTGTACCGTAATACAAATATGTTTTGTAATTTGAATTATACTAAATAACAAAATATGAATTATTAAATAAAGAAACAACCCCTAATATTAAGGACTAACCCTTAATATTAAGGACTTATTCTTATTCAATAGTTTAAACTATGTAGTATGATATTGTCTAAATTGCACAACAGATTTTTTGAATATGAAAAAACATTGCATCAATCTTTATGATTATATGGTAAGATCTTTCTTTATGATTATAGATTATATTATATAAGATATACGAAAATACTATAATTACAATACCATAGTATTATAAACTTATAACATGATATGTCATTATATAATTAATTTTTTTTATTCATGAATCCATCTTTAATATTATATATATATCTATTCGTTTAATATCATATTATATTTCATTTAATGTCACATAAAATTATAAGTTTACATTCCTACATGATGTTATAACTATAGCATCACTATAAAATATAACACCGTATGACACAAATCTTAAATCTCTTGTAAAAGTTGTCATTACATATGATTCCATTATAAAAGAATTGGTCCTTTGCAAGAAGAATGAATTAGCTAACTAATTGCATTTTTTTTAAAATATCAAATAAATAAATAAACAATCGATGGGGTGGTCAAGAGCTCCTCCCACGCCAGGCATTTTTAATTATCAAGTTGTTGGTTTACTTGAACCCACATGAAGATGAAGGGAAAAACAAAAAATTCACTTGGGCAAAAAGGAATGTTCATGAACTATGATTGAAACTTCCCTTGAAATT